ACCCAAACCATCAGATGTAATTTGGCTAAGGATGTTTTTTAAAAATATATATTTCACAAGAGAGTTGGCCAGGTTGTCTGTCGTGAAAGCTTCCCGGTGACTATAAATGGAGCTGACGAGCTGTCTCACAAGGTAGCAGGAAAGCTAACAAGCTAGTAGGTCAATTTTGGCTGTGGCTACACCTCGCCAGCTGGTCGGGTTGCAAGATGTCCTCTGTCTTGTTGTTGGTGAAGCTGCTAGCTTAGCAGACTTTGTTTTTAGCCTCAACGGCAGTTGGCTTTGATCCGCTAACCGTCAAGCTAAGCTAACATGTCGTTAGCATTTGGTAACACAAGTACAAAAATTCCCGATTAAGGGTTTCTGTCATACCTTTATAGTGTACACGGAGGTTGTTCTGAGACAGTCCGATGTAGCTGAACTTGTCCTTCGGGCTCCAGGATCGGGGAAGTGGAGTCTCGTTTTCGTTAACGGCCGGATAGAGCCGTCGGAGCCGTTGATTGAGCTCCTTTTCCTGCTCGTTCAGAGCCGAGTCTCCGTGGACAACTACCGACATCAGAAACCCACCGCCGGATGACTGTCCAGACATGGCTACGACACGAGTTTTAGTAAACTGGCTTGTCAGCAACAAGCCAGAGCCACTTGTGTCCGTCAGTGTCAAGTTTTAAAGGGGAGTTAGCAAAGCTAGCAAGCTAGGAGGCTAAGCTAATTGGCTTCGCTGGTTGTTGCAGAGGCAGCCAGAGCTGGTTAGCCGAGCAGCTAACCTGGCTAACGCGTTTAGCTTGGCCAGCAAAGGCGAAGCGATCGCTGAAAATGACTCAGGTTGACATTAGGTCTGACTAAAACACAAATAGAAACAAGAGGATGAGACTGCCCCACGGGATCTGAGCAAAGAAGTAAAAAAAAAAAAAAAACAGGGAGCTAGTCGGTGCTGGGGGCAAAGTAACTACTAACGTTAGCCTAGACGGATCGACAAAGTATGATGAGCTCGGCTAGCCTCGATCTTTTGTTTGTTGTCGGAGCATTATCCGCTGATCTGATTGGCTGAAAACAGCTCCACTCACTTCCTATGGGAATGTGAAGAAAATACACAGAATGAGCTAAAAACTATCTTATCAGTAGATTACAAGGTTAACACTGTCAGCAAGTCTTCATGATTATTGTCATCATCATTGTTTTCAGTTTTTAAGCTCTATCATTATTATTACATTTTAATTATTGATGTTTATAAACTAGATTTACACTTAATTATATGTCTTTCTTTTTAATATCCTATAACAGTGTAAGGTGAAAAATCTATATGGTCTTATTTGTGGAAGTTTTTTTTTTCTTTTATCTACCACTTACTAACTTAACCATATCCACTACTTTGGGTATAAGCCAGAATACCCAGAGAGAACCCACAAAGACACAGGGAGAACATGCAGGAGAACATACATAGAACATACAGGAGAGGCAGGAAAGGCTGGATTTGAACACAAGGTGCAGGTGCTAACCACCCTTTGAAGGCATCACTTATTTCGGTTTTAATAATATAAACAAGCATACAAGCAGCTTTTGGCAACCAAATGAAGGAAGAACTCTTGTTTAACAAAAAAGAGACTTCAAGCCAGGCTTGGGGAAGGGCAGCTATCTGTGGTGATCAAGTAGGGGGACTGATGGAAAGGAAATCCAGAAAAGAGGAGCATGGAGAGATCATAAGTGACAAAAAAAGCTACTTTCAGCTGCACCATATTCAAAAGTGGTCACCATGGCCAATTGCACTGCATGATTGATTGGGCCATGGTGGCTACCAAATACCCAGAACACCAAAGGGGGGTCTTGTCAGGACTCCTGGTTCAGTTCACCTTGCATTTCCTCATGGAATCAAACCAGGTATCTTACACTTGTTTGTCAAACATGTACACCACTCCACTACGGAACCACATGAATAAAAAACCCCAGTCCTCCAGAAACCCTACTCTATAACATTAGAAGCATTTCTCTCACTTGAAGGATTTTCAGAGAGCTTATAGAGAAGCTTGATAATAATTAATTACAGTAGTTCAGTGTGTAAGTAACATATCTATAGATGTGCCTTCTTCTAGTTTATTAACAGTGTACTGCACATTAATTGCATTTTTATTTTTGCCTGCAGTCTCACACATGTTGACAGCCAGGGGGTTATTGGTGCTAATCTTATTTAATTTGCCAATTTTTTAAATATTAATTGACATCTAATTACTACATCATATCAATGACTGTTTGCTTCATTAAAATACATTTATTTGTTTATATAGATTTTTTGTACTGTGAACGAGACTGAACCCGTATTACTTTATAAAAGATGTTTTATTAAATACTTGTTAACATGAAGAAGTTTATTAAATCAAATTGCTCTTATGTTCAGTTTACATCTCTGTATTTCTATTTTTGCTAGACTGTAAACAGTGATGCCCCGGTGATACATATTGGTAGCCTCACTGGGCAGAAGTTAAACATAATTACAGCACATGTAACTTGCACACAGTAACTGAATGCAACATGTAGTCGATTGCACAGGTAATAAAAGTGGAGTAAAGGTTGATACTAATGATTCTACGTTTAGGGTATAAACAAAAAGTTCAAAATCTTGATTAAGGTCGGAGTGAGTTGCATTTTTTACCAAATCCCTTTCACCAACCCCGGCCTCCACTAGGTACAAGTGTCTTTTCCTTCTCTGAAAAAATATTAGCACTTTCTTCAGAGTTTACTGTGCTTCATGTAGTAACTAACTGTTAAATAAACACGAATTTAATGTGCAATGTGTACTATGAATTTATCAGGTAAATTTAAAGACGACCTCTTACCATTTGCGTTGCTATTTTGCAGTGTTTTCCTGTTGTGAGAAAATGTTATGGGCTAATCAGGGAGGTGGTTGGAATGGATGGTGGCTGTACAAATACAGGCCGAGACAGTGAGGGGTAATTATGTAGCCGATGTTTAAGGAAAGGTGGTTTTTAAATTTAGTGTTAATAAAGTTGTATCTTATGATTAATGTGGACTTTTTATGTAATAAATTTTCCCTAAACTTGTATTTTTTAAAGGGCCTATAAACATTACAGTACATAGTATTTAGCATCAGAGTTTTGAACTTTAAACTGACATGCAGCTAATCAAATTACCTATTAATTAACAGAGAATATTTTTGTCTGGGGCCTCTCTGTGTAGTTCAGCACTAATCCAGCCCTGTTAGTTGATATTTTAATAGTTAAATTAAAGGAAACCAGCTCAGTCAAAACACACACAGACAGAAAGTAAAACAAAAGCTTGGCAATAATACATAATTCATGCCTGCCCGTGAACTAAAAACAGTTGTTTTAAAGATCGTGTTTTGTCTTGTTTGTGTTTCCAGCAGCTCTGATCGCTGTTATAAACGAAAAGGGTTTTTTTGTTTTGTTTTGTTTTGTTTTGTTTGGCTCACATGGTCTGTGAATGTCCCTCGCGCCAACATGTGGGAATGTTCGTTGCATCACTAAAAAGGAATCTGAAATGATGTTACGCTCCCTGTAGGGAAGCAGTTGCTCACATTCACATCCCCTGGAAAACACACACATTAGGCCTTGGCTGTTTATCATCAGCAAGACGTGTGCTGTAGAAGCAGAATGGGTACAAATTGTGCTGGGAACAGCTCCTCAGTGTCTTAAACAAATGAATGAATAAATAATAGTGCAACAGAAATGAAAGCTCGGATTTGAAACCATTGGTGGAAAATGTATTCATCTATAAACTGAAGCTCTTTATTCTATCCTAATAATTTTTTTTAGAGAGGGATATTTTCTGTTCTCATCTTATATTCAGCAGCTCAAACACGAAAAGGCTAATGACACATCAATGCAGTATAAACCAGGATCATAGCAAAATAAGCTATAAAAACAGTTTGTACAAGCAAAGTATTTTAAATCAACAGCAACCTTTTACAGAAATAATGATTTTCACACATTGAGAATCTCTGGTTGGTGTGTCCTTTTGAACGATATTAAACCAGGAAGTGAAACTGATTAAGAGTCTCTTTTCCAGAATTCACCAGAACCCCCGAAAGTAAAAACAAAACTCCACACAGAAGGGCTCTGGTGGGATTGACCCTCTTCCTTCTTCTTCTACTGAGCCACAGCAAGGCTTAGCTTCAGTGCTTTTTTTATAATTTAATTCTGTATTTATCCATTACAATATTCCATATTGATCACATTTTAGTTTGTACTGATTTTACATGAAAAAGTTCTGGGTGTTGCAAAATAAAGAGGAATAAAACTGACAGAAAATAAAGAATAAAAGTTTCTAAAAAGCAATTCAGAGCAGAATAATCAAATAAAGTGGTATTTAAAGCTCGCTTTCTAACCAATGGTGACGCTGTAGAGCGATGTAATAAAGCCCCTGTTTTTATGCATATATATACGTCACAATATGCTGTTTATGCTTCTCCACTAATCACATGAATTAAAACGCATAATTAAAATTTATGATTTTGTAGAAGTTAACACACTCACTTGATATGTGGAAGGTTGCTGGTTCAATTCCAGCTGCAGGCACCCTTTGGAGTTGTGACAGGAATGCCACCTGGTGCCAAATCCACCTGTTCAACTGCTTATGCAAATATCTAATTAACCAATCGTTCAGCTCAACAGATTTAAACTTTAACATGTGGTCAAGACAACGTCTGATTGACAATACTGCAACATTCAGATGAGAAGGTCAGAATTTGGTGTAAACAACTGGATAAGTAGAAGAAAATGGATGGATGGAACATAATAACATGGATGCCTTATCAACGGTTCAGGGAGAACTGTTGATACAAGAACCTGGAGATTCTCATCATGCGGCAACGGCATGATGCCATCATGTCAATATGGACTAAAATCTGTGAGAAGAAGTTCCAACATCTTGCTCAGTTTATGCCAAGGTAGATCTGAAGACAAAAACTAGTCTAACCCAGTACAAGATAAAATAATGAGTAATTTGGTAGTCAATTTGGCACCTTTTAAAAGGTTTGTATTTGTATTATTATATTAAGGTAAAACAAAAAATGCCATCAGAGGTTAAAGACTATTTTAATAAGCCACAAACGATAGCAGTACAATGTTATTCATCTCATACTCATTTATCAGCTTGTGTTTGACTTTGCTCTCTCAGTCAGTTATCTCTCCAGACGTCTCCGCTCCAGACAATAGCAAGTAAGCATGAAAACATGACTGTTAATTTGACTTTCAAACTTACAGTGTAAACACTGCTGTTACATTTGCACCAAAATCTTAAACAACAATCTGAGCTGGTCTGAAGCAGATTCTAACTGTTTTAATTGACAGAGATGTTCTGTCAGTTATCAGTCACTCCATTAGCTGACATCTTTTTGCAAGGATTAACAGCCTGAATAAAGACACTGGAAATAAAGACTTTTGCAAGGACAGGACATCCAGCAAAACCTCAGCAGTGAAGGTGGATGTTGGGGTGGATGGTCACAGCACCCTCTGGTGGCTCAGACTAATAATACAGTACTCTGTGAATAGACGTTAACAGCAGAGATCCCACGTCTTTAAAAAAAACCCCACTAGCTTAATGTTTGACTAATTATATCAGCTAGATCCTGCTTTTCCCTCCAATGTTAGTTATCAGCAAACATTATTATTATTATGCCTCCTTTTATTCTATTTGAGGGAATTAATCGTTTTAGCTGGCAGGGCTTTAATCAGAACAAAATGATTTGTCCCTCTGACACAAGCAATGAGTGTGTTTAAGATCAAATCTAATTATATCTCTATTAAAGGTACCTATTGTGTTTTTCTCATGTTCTTTCAGATATGTACTGCTACACTGGCAGATGCTCGTGCCTAAACATGGCCAAATTTTCAAATGATGATGTTAGTCATGTGAAAGTAATCCCAATCAGCCAAAAGTTCAGCCTGATCTAAATACTCTGTCAGTTTTATTTTTAATCTTCACTCTGCACGATGACAGGATAGCTCTGATATGATCATCTCAGGTGCACAGCTCTGGCTGTGACCACAGGAGTTGCACCCACCTGTGGTTCAAACCTTATGTTTGCCACTCATGGCACTCGGAAGAAAGCTTGTTGGTTAATAGCTAACCTGATGTATCAGGGAATAGGTTAAAGAGGACACCATGTATGTAAATCAGCCACACCAATGTGGAGATGAGAACAGTCTGTACATTCCTTTAGATTTTGAACTATAACATCATAATGCATTACATTAAACAGTGACTTCAGAAGTAGTGTTTTAGTTGAAGCTATCTGACATTTTGAGCTTTATTAGGTAAGTAAATTATCAGCCTAAAAACTGCACAAATTAAGATGTATGAGCTCCACCTTTATGCCATTCAAATAACAGTTCACATGGTTAGCTACACAGTAACATCCCCATTAGTCAATTCTGGAGATCTATTGTCAAGCATGTTCAAAGCAAAGCATTGCCTGTTCATTTGGTTGCATTATGATGGTAAGCAGTCCCAGAACTCATGGCAGATACACTGGCAGAACCCATAGACCATGATCACGATGAGGCTGGCAGGAACCAGGCTCACCAGAAGCACCCCAAGTGTTGTCCTCTGCATTATGAGCAGGTAAACCCCCATAGGCAGGGAGCTAAAGTACAAGAGCCCCAGGACCCATACCAATGCCCGGGCTGAAGTCTGGCACAGGAGGGCTGCACAGTTCCACACTGTCCACCTCTCTGCGATGGATGCCATAGAGTCCTGACTGGATGAGTGGTAGTCCTGGTTTGACAGGTGAGAGCCATGTATCTGCTGGTAGGGATGGATGTCTTGGGTGGATATGGATGCGGGCGGAGGCTCCATGATAGTAATGACCACAAAATTAGGGGAGCTGCGGATGGTGGAGTAAGGGGTAGAGGAAGATGTGGAGGAGGAAGTAGATATCACAGGTGAATTGCTGCTCATCAGTGAGCTCAGGCGCATGGGGCTTAGGAGCAGCTCCGTAGTTGCCTCCTGGTGGAACTGCCGGTTTCTCTGATTCCTGTTTTGGAGGGCCAGCGTTGCCACCAGGTTGCAGTCATCTGGCAGGTTGCTCACAGCATCTCCTGGCAGTCTAGTGAGATAGCGACAAAACGGACACACCAAGGCATTGGGAGGCGACTCACCCAAATCCAGGATCTTAATGAGACATTTGGAGCAGAGACGGTGGCAGCACTCAAGCACCTTAGGCCTTCGACTCCCCAGGTTGTAGGCGCAGTAGCAGATCTTACACTCCATCTCTTCAGTGCCCAGCATGTCCACAAAGCTAGAACCTCCAACACCACCACCACTATCCTCGGGGTTTTGCATCTCTAGCATCATCCTGTGCTCAAACTTTATCCAACTCTAAGATCAAACGCAAAATCCAACCAAAAGCTCAAGTCCAAGCTCAGCACCGGTACTTTTCCCATAGATGGAGACACTGATGAAGGTCCTCTTCACTGAAGATCTAGGCTTCATTGCAGCTGTCTCCTAAAATGTGTGTGTGTGTGTTTCAATGTGAAGCGAGAAGAGAGACATGTGAGAAGGTGAAGCCCCTCGCAGGATTTGGCCTCTGGCGGTTGCTTGGCTCCAAGCAGTTGGGTTGACCGTGCTTCATTTGGAGTAAAAAGCCTTTCATGAGCCGCACAAAAAAGGGGGGAGAAGGGTGAGAGAGACACTGAGAGAAAGACCTAAAGAGAGAGAGAGAGTGAGAGACAGAGAGAGGGAGGGAGACACATAACTGTTAACACAGCAAACAGAGGCGAAAGGACAACAAAGCAGAGCCTGTACAAACCAGAGCTGGAATTTTCGAGTCTGATCTTTTGTTGCTCCATGAAATTCAGCCCAATTAGTGACTGATGCACGCACACACACACACACACACACACACACACACACACACACACACACACACACACACACACACACACACACACACACTACTGTATTCATGACTTCCGTGACTTACCTTCATACCACACTTGCTGTAGACTTAACCATTAGTTGCCTACACACATGCCAACCTGAAATCATGTCCTCACCTTTAATAATTTACGTAGCATGGATTACATTTTTGTCTCTGGGAGGAAGACACACCCTCATAATGTGGCATTGTAAACACGCAGCATGGATAAAACCCAGGTAACACACACAAACAGACAACAACTGCAGCTCCCTGTTAATGGTCTGCAAAAATAAGTGTGCATGAAAAGTTGAATGAGTTTCTATATAAATAACTTTATCTGTGTTGTACAACACTTTGGTCAGCCATAATGCTATATAAATAAACTATGGTATGTTATGACCCATCCGGGAGGGGCTCAGAGTAAGGTTCGGGCATCTGACAAGGATGCCCCCTGGGCGCCTCCTGGGTGAGGTGTAGACCCAGGACACGCTGGAGAGATTATATCTCTCGGCTGGCCTGGGAACGCCTTGGTGTTCCCCCGGATAAGCTGGAGGAGCTGGCTGGGGAGAGGGAGGTCTGGGCTTCTCTGCTTAGGCTGCTGCCCCCGCGACCCGACCCCGGATAAAGCGGATGAAGATGGATGGATGGATGTTATGGTGTGTGTGTTTGTGAGCATGTGTGTAAATATGCAAAATTATGTGTCCACGTAAAAACAGAAATGTGTTTTCTCATCCATCCCTAGAGAAATGCCTGGTTCTTCTAAATCCACGGTGATAATTCTAAACAGGTAAATAACTTCTATCTTTATGAGTGTCGCCATGTGTATAACGACACTCCTGTCTCAGAAACAAAGATCCTGTGGAGGTGGGGGTGGATGATGGGGTCAGCAACATTACAAGTCCTGTTTCACATCTAGTAGCCGACATGGTTTTATCTTTTTTTAAACAATCTTTCACAATCCTTCTGGCGCTACCTAAATCTACACACATCTGAGTCAAATTCATATGTAATACCATGCATAATGTTACAAAATGAGAACCTGTGTTTTCATTTAGTATTTCCTGTATTAGTGTCCATTTATCAGGTTAGATGGGTGCAGATGGTTGTTTCAGCTAACGTTTCTGCATGAAATCTTATGGATTATCTTTTTATTTGTAAGAATGCTGCTGTTTTCTGAAACAGTTAGCTAGTAACGCACAAAATCAGCCATTTGGGTTCCATCGCGGTTACAGCAAATTTAAATCCCACGATCCAGTTTTCATTAGCTGAAATTCACAGTCAACAGTTTGAAACAACAAAGAAAAGAGAATGTCTTACCATGAAGGACACCTATGATTTGAGACCAGGCCCGCTGATGCAAATATGTGTCAGAATTGGTGAACTGGTGTGGACTGAAGGAGTGGACCCAGCAGTGGAAAGTGGAGCAGGTCCATGTTGGAGATCCTGGTTTGGCAGTGAGCTCTGATCTTGATTTATGGCCAGAACAGCACAGGCAGCAGAGCAAAATGGGTCAACGTCTCTTTGTAGATGTGAGCTTTCCTTGTTAAGATGGGCTCATTCCGTCGAGTGTGGCAGGTAGCCCAGTCTGCCATCTCTCACGCAGTGTCATTTAGCTGTTGTTCTGTTTGCCACCTTAATTACGAAACTAAGAAAACTAATGATAAGTGCCCAATAAAAGTCACAATCGTCTCACACAGTAATTTCAAAGACTAAACTGGTTTTGTGGTTTCAGGGCTGGATTTACCCTGCAATGGCAAACTGGCACATGCAAAGGGAAACGTTTGTCACAAAGATTATGGAAACTTTGATATTGGTCATTATAATAAGCACAGTACTGTGCAAAAGTCTTGAACCAAGTCATGTGTCAGGTCTTTGCTGGATTTCTTTCCTGTTTTTTAAGGAAATTACTTTGCGATACTTTTTCTGCAGAATCAGCTGAAGAAACAAATCATATGGTTCTGCAACAAGCTGATGGTACAAAGCTTGGTGTCTGAAGCTTATTGTCACCCCCTGAGTTAGATGGATTTTTTTTGTAAGTTCAGTTTGCAAACAAACAAAAAGATGCATTTCTTTGAAAATTGTCAGGTACAAGGATGCTGGAAGGAATGAAAAAGGAACCAGTGTAAAAACCAAAACAACCTGCTCTGTAGCTTTTGACAGCTCTGAAGCGCTTGCAACATTTTGTACCTCAATGTTAAAATATAATATGTTTTTTTTTGTTTTGTTTTTTCTTTTACTTAAAGTTGCGTCCATCTCACCTCTGGGTCCACAGCAGCTTAGAATCTCAGCTAGCCAAACATGATTGTTGATCTGTGGGAGGAAACTCAAACACAGGCTGTCCAGTAACAATAACATGAATCACTTGTAGTGACATTTATCTTATTTCTGTACTGTTTTATTGCACAGTTCATAGAAGTTCATTTTAAAGCTCAACCAAGTGATTTTTTTTACCACTAGTGGGCAGAAAAACAAACATGAGCCACCAAGCTGTTCAAGCTAATTTCTTAGAAACCAGGCATGTTTAAAGTTTGGGCATAAACAGATCTGTTCATAGTATGGGTCTCTGATGAATGCAAGTTAAATATTGACTTTCTGTTTCTCTTTCAGGATGGGTGGAGGCCAGCATCAAGCAGCTATTCTTCAGTCTTTTAACTTTGGCAGCTGAGAAACATCTGATTCCATTTTATTTAGTGCAGTTAACATAGGTGTAGTTACATGTGCAGTATATAGTAGTAATTCCGTCATTTACACACAAAGGCTATATAATGATAACAATAAAACACAAACAAAAGACGTTACACTCCAATAAATGTACACACACGAACACACACACCTGACGTCACCAACCTGAACGACAACAACACAAGAGGCAGGAATTGAAGTGTGCAGCTGATTTAAGTTGAGACAATTATACAGGAAGCATGATGATTGCGTCTTTCAAAATAAAGGCAGAAAAAATAAGACAAAAAGAAATGCAAATAATTTTAATGATTGCTTAATTACAACTATAAGAAGCTAGAACCTAGGTTTCAAATATAAAGTTACCACACTTTGGTTAGAATAAGAAAAATTAATACAAATGATAGAAAATTGTTGTACATTTAATTTCTTTCTTTTAATTTCACCCCTTGCATGCACTGTTCCAGAGCAGCACTACTTTTACTCAAACACAGCACTTAAGCACACTTTTGAGTTACTTATATTTTCATTTTATTTTCTTTAAAAAATAACTTTCATGCTACTTATTAATTGGTTATCATATGTTTTGTTACTGCATTTGTTTCACTTATGTATCTTTGCTCTGTGAATAATAATGTAAACTATATATTCCTGAGATAAAAAGTAATTTAATAAGACTGTATGATTTAAACGCATTAGTTTTAATTGCAAAAAGAACATTTAGACTATTTTCAAAAAGTGAACGCGTTATGAGACACTTATTTTGAAACCTCAGAATCGGAAATAGCTCAGTAAAGTCTCCGCTTTGCTTAACACCCATCTCTGCTGAAGGAGCGGAGGGGCAGAGCGGAGGGACCCCGGTCGTTTTTCAATGCTGGGGAGCCGGGAAGCAGGACCCGCCGGAGGTGGGCAGGTGGCCGCGGCCGGCGGACCGCCAAGCCGGGATCAGGAGACCCTTCCCGGCCGCGCAGGGTGTCGCCTCACCGGCCTGGTCAGCTGGAGGCGGAGACCATGCAGGACTTCAGCCCTGTTTGCTGCAGCCAACGCGATGTTCGGGTAGGCATCATGACGCAGGGATATCTCACAGCACTGAGCTCCTGTTAATAAAAATAAATAAATAATAATAATAATTATGACTTTAAGTTAAATATTAAATATACTGTTAAAAAATCATGACATCCTAGTAATTCCACATTAAAGGCGTAATTATTTCAACTTTAGTCCTTTCTTTCTATTATATCTTTTAAATCATTTGACGTTGTTACTTTTAAATTCATCTATACTTCACACACTAATAATAATAATGATGATCTTTAAAAAGGGGTTGTAAATACTCAGCTGCCACTGTTTTCTGTATTTTTCTGTATGTTTCTTATATTTTTCTGTATGTTTCTTATATTTTTCTGTATGTAATGTCTGTATCAGGGACATTGTCAAAACAAACCGCTACCACCATGAGCAAAAAAACAAACAAATCACAATAATTTGGGACTTCATGAGACAAAATTCGTCAAGTTTATGTTTGTTTGTCTGTTTAAACAAATTTCACTTTTCTCATTCTGTTACAATATATTGTTTGAAATGTATTTTATGGCCTAAAAATAAGAGTTACATTTATAATTAGTCAACAGTAAAAGCACTTAAAAAACATTTAAAACCCCAAATAGTGTTCATTTAATTTTGTTTGTATTAGTATTTTTATATATTCCAGCATTGCTATATTACTGCTGCAGTGGTTAATGTACTGAAAGAGGAAAAGCATAGATTGCTGTTATAAAGTCTTCGTTACACAGATCTGTTATAATTCTGCATCCTGACTTTTTGAGTAAGGAAAGCAGAAAAGCTCAAAATTCTGACACAGGGTCATTTTTTCATTATAGCAAAAGAATATGAGAATATTTTAGCTCCACAATAGATGGTGAGTTTTTTTTTACATCCACGGATGTAAAATTATGTATCCAAAATCAAAATATAAAGCTTTATCATCTTGTATAAACAGCTCCACAAAAATAAACATCGATCTGCTAAAACCTCCACAGAGTTAAACTGTGGAGTGCATCACAACAACCTGAGTGAGCTGCTGTGAGTGAAACTTTTGTTCTGTTTCCCTGCAGGTTTGTGGCCTTTGACTCGTTTCGGGCCTACACCCTCCTGGCTTTCCTCCTGGCCCTGCTGGTCATCACGGTCACCACCCGAGATGTAATTCGGTCCAGATCCGCAGGTAACCCCCAAATGATCAGTCGATTAAAGAGAAGAATAACTAGTAAGGAACTGCCTTGCCTTAATCTCATAACTCTGGATCTTCAGTCATAACTGCCCCGAAACCCATTTAAATACAAATACTGACACCGATAAAAGACCAACTGACACTAAAGTGTTTGTCAAAGTGCACAAGGTGTGTAAAGGTGCTTTACAAAAAGTTGCTTGAAATCAGTTTAAACACTTTTGAGTGATGACTTTGTGTCCCAGGAGTCTGTGTATTGTGTGACAGAGACATCAAGTGATGCTGAAGTAGGGCCAGGCTGTAGTCTTGTGTAATGTCACTGTGAACCAAAAGCTGGTGCAGGCTGCAGCGTCGCATCCAGTGTTTGAGAAAATGGACAGATTATTGTCAGGACCACTTTTGCTGCAGATGTAGTAATAGCATTATAATGTATGCGGGGCCTTTGTGGGAGTAATCAACCCCTGGTAATTAAAAAGACGACAGACACTCAGATTAGAAGATGTAAAAAAATAAATACCCTAAATATAGAAAAGAATGAATGATCTATTACAACCAAAACTGTAAAGGTGGAACCCAAGTACAGAGACAAGCAAGTTCTAATTTGGTGTTCAAAGTGCTATTACTGAGGTAGAAACTGCATTGTGGCGAGGAATGGTTGGAGAAAACGTTAACACAGTGGATGGAAGGCAGATGAACAGGTTGGGTGGGGCTGATTGTTGGCAGGTGTGCAGGATGAGCAGAGCTGGGAGCCAGGAATAAGGGAGACCTCGCCCACACCCATCCACAACAAAAACACAGACAGACAGACAAACAAGGGTGGGAGGCACCAAACAAATACAAGACAGAGAAAAAAGGAAGCACCAGGGAGTGTTTAAGGGGAGGATTGTGATGTGGCTGTAGCACAAACCCTATAAACTAACAGAGCTGTTGACAAGAATATAAAACATTTACAAAAAGATGCATCGAATGAACGAGGAGCTCAGATTTTAAAAAGGCTTTTATATATTATTTAGATGTATTTGATATTTATGAGCGTAATGGATATATGGGATGTGGATACTGTCTGTGGTTTTGAAATTATTGGTAAATGTTTGGTCTATTATGTTGAAATGTCAACAGCATTTTTATTACTATAATTTATTTATTGGTGATTTCTTTATTTATATTTATATTTCAGGGACTGCGGACGAAAAATAGCTAACAGCTAAATCTGATACAGTGGATCTTTTTTATTAGTAGATAAATGTTTTTTCCATCCCTGACAAATGAAGAGGAAAATTAAAATGAAATAAATAAGCCGTTCAGCTTAAACCCAAGATGTTCCCTCACCAGAGTTATAAATGGCTGCTTTGAAACCAAACAAATCTATTTGGTTCGGATGTTTACGTGATTTCAGCTTCATCCTGGCTTATTAGCCCGATGAGTAAGGATGAGGCATCATCTTTCATGGCGGATGGTGACTCATCAGCCTGACTGTTGCTCACAATTACACTTTGAACACATTGGACTCCTGATGTCAGCAGTTATTTAAGTTTAATGTTATCAGTATAGTTTTCTCTTTGTAGAAAACTTTCATTATCATCACCTAACACTTCTGTTAAAGAAAACTGTTTTTGCATACTTCACGTCATTAAGTATAATTTCATAACATCACAGTAATCATTAGCACTATATCAACACTCAATAAAAAATGGTAAACAGCCTGCATTTGTATAGCGCTTTACTCAGTCCCTAAGGACCCCAAAGCGCTTTACACTACATTCAGTCATTCACCCACTGTTGATAGCAAGCTACGTTGTAGCCACAGCTGCCCTGGGGCGCACTGACAGGACACTGGCGCCACCGGGCCCTCTGACCACCATCAGTAGGCAAACATGGGGTTAGATCTTGCCCAGGGATTTTTGGCATGCAGCCAGGATCGAACCACCGACCTTCTGATTAGTGGCTGACCTGCTCTGCCACCTGAGCTGCAGCCACCCCATCGAAAAAACGATTATATCTAATTAACCTGTGGTTGGAAACATGAAAAGGGTCTTTGTTAAGCATTTATTTCATCTACAAATTATGTTTCTTTTAACATTATTTTATTACATGGTTGTTATATTACATTTAGAGCCCAATCATAGCTTGTGGTAACTACATTACAGTTTGCTCCTGCCATTTTATCATTGTTTCCATCCATTCATTTTCTACCACCTATCCGGGTTTAGGGGATATTCTTACCGTCACCACCAACAGCTCGATAGGTGAGGGCAGGAATGTAGATCATCCAATAAATCAATAGCTAAGCCTTCAGGCTCAGCTCTCTCTTTGCCACAGTTTCTGCAGTGGGTGTGAGTGCGTGAGTGCTGATGAATAACACATCTGTGGTTCTTTTTCACAGGAGCCCAGTTATGGCACAGCATGACAACAAGGTAAGACACTTAAGTGCAGGTGATTGTGATGTGCAGGTTTGTTAATAATGTGTGTTTGGTGAACATTGGGAGTGTTTGGATTTTAAAACATATCAGAGAGGCAGAGCTGCTCTGAAGGAAGAAATCTTCATATTGGTGAAGATGCTATTGCGGCATTCATTGTTTCCTGAACCTGAAGGCATCCATAGGACAGTGAAGTTAATTTAAACAAAGAAATCAAGAACAAACATGTCTGCATCAAGCTTCTGCTCAAACCACATCTGATCTTAGATTTAAATTATGTCTGACACAACTTGTTTTTCACAAACTGAAAGGTGAAGAGGATCTTGGCTGAAAAACAAAAAGTTGGTCAGCTTAAATTGTTGATATCACACGAAGGAAAGTTTAATTGGATGTTTGTGACTCCTGAAATCAAGTTGATGTAATCAGCTTCAGTAATCAGACGTCTTACTCTGTTGTTCAACTGAAGAAAGAATCGACTGGCAGCAGTGTGGTGGCGTTACACAGTGTTGCTTCATGAATCACCTCTAGCTATGATCTCTTTTTGAGTTTGGACATATGCACAATATTATGCCAGAGACTGAGGTTCAATTAAAACTGAACCTGTAATGCTTTTAGCACCAAGAGATAAATAAAGTCCCAAAATCCAAAACATTTACCGAACAGAGCCAGGAAATATAAATACCAGGGATAACTAGGAATGTAATTCTCTGGGAACACAGAGCAACGAGACATAACAATGTAGGCAATGTGACAAAGGACAGAGGGACGACTGAGACAGTACAGACAGGTAACGAGGGAAATGAAAAAAGGTGGAGAACACAGTTGAAGAAAACATAACAAGACAGAGGGAACACAGAGAACAACGAATACCAAAATAAAACAGGAAGTAACAGAATGGGGAAACAAGATTGTTATTGTCTTTCTTTGTCTCGTGACAAGTTAAAGAGGTTAGACTGGAACAGAATAGGGAGCAAAAGGGAACTAAATACAACTGAAAAGTTGTAAATACAACTGAAAATATTGAAAATTAAACCACAGAGAACCCTGTCGAAGTAGAACATAAACAAGACTTATAAACATAAGTGAATAAAAACTCTATCAATATTAAACTAAACACTCACTAATATTACAAAAAAAATAGGAAACAAAGCTCATAGTGGATTCTCAAAAACAAAAATTCAATTCACTTTTATTCATATGGTGTTAATTTACAACAAACGCCTCGAGGTGCATTATTCTGTAATATTAGAAAGAATCCCCAAATGTCACATGACTCCCAATGAGACAAGCACTTGGCAATGGTGGGAAGGAAAACTTAATTTTAAGAGGAAGAAACCTGGTTATGGAATCATCAGTTCACAAGAAATTCAAAACTCAGGGACCACGACAAATATATCCTTCATTAAAACTACATGAGCCCATTGCTCTGTTTTCTTAAAACCTGAATATGGTGGTGTGTTGCTGACTATTTGCAGCAGATTAAGCCAAGTAATACAACACAAACACAAACAATCTTTTAGGGAAATGATTTCAGTCTCTGGGGTGTGAAGGAGTTAAAGCCTGCAGTCACAGTTACAGAAATGTCACACCAGCCCTTTCTGCTAATTTGTGTTTGCTGCTGTCACACGTTCCTGTGCAAATATCATGCACTAATCAGTAACCAGGATACAAGTGTTTATCATGTATACAGGAACCTGTAGCAGCAGGTTTCTCTGCAGACGTAATTTCCTGGATATAACCAGGATAAACCTCACAAGCAGCATGACCATGTAAACACACTCCATGAACTCAGTTATTTTTTACAGATACAAAATCACACAGGAGCTTTGGGCTGACGATGCATTGTTCTATACTGCTACTCATTAAATGTTTCAGCATGTTTCAGTAATTATTCGTAGGTTGTATTTGAAAAAAATGAGTTGTGTTGAGAAGCTTCAAGCTGAGTGTTCACTGTCAACATCCCGGCCTTTTCAGACCAGCCCTCAGTGGCTCTGATTGTGAAATACTCATAACTTCATTAGTCACCTCATCATGAATGGAGATTTAAGACATCCATGCTTCATATACTGAAACCTAGAAAAAGTCTGTGTGACCACAAAGGACAAGGTGGCGTTTTGATATAGATGAAGTTTCTTTTCTTTTCAGTCATTTTATTTCACATATTAGATGGGTTGCTGTAGTAGATCTTTACCAAAACACTTAAAATCATCCAGCTTTTGCAGAATTTGAATTTTCATAACTTTTGAGTTGTCTTTCATATTAATCGGCACCTGGCAGTGATTGAAACCTTCATTCCAAAGGTTTTTAAATTGTTGCCTCTGGTGGGTTACTTCTGCAGCTACCCCTGCTTTCACAGATGCACTGCAGCCTTGACTTTTCTGAATGTCACCCAACAGAGGTCCATGTGACAATGCAAAACTCCAAAACAGTCAGACTGGACACTGGCTGTCCTTCAACTTCCCAGATTGCTACTGCAGCTAATGTTTTGGTGGATTAACGCTAAAAGTTGATCAACTGTGTCGTGCTTCCTGCATCATTCAGTTGTTTGTAGTTTGAAGGTGATTTTTTCTTAGTTAAAAGGTCAAAGATAAAGGACAAAATCCAAGGAAAGGAACAGTTACAACATCCAAGGTGCATTTAAATAATGAGTTTAAAGACGATTAAGTGCGTTATTAAAGCTGAGCCAAGGCTAAAACTTAAGCTTGTGAAAAAACAAACAAAAAACAGGTTATATAATGTTCTGCTTAAATAACGTCAGATTCTGAGTCAATTTATACCTCTGAAATGCTTCTTATACATGTCTGCATGTGCTGAGGATATTTCAGAGGCATTTGCATTTAAAAATGGTAAAACACGATTTGTCAGAAGCAAAGCAGATGCACATTTAAAACGGGAACGTGTTTTATTTGTTACTCTCTAAAAGCTTCTTGGCGCTCATGGTTTGGATGAGCAGTTCAGCTCTGCCGATGTGCAGTGATTCTAAAACAACTTCTCTGCCTTAAATTTGAGTCATCTCTTGTAAATATACTGGAAGGTTTCCTAACACAGAGTATATAAAGACGTGTAGCTTCTCATACTGTATCATGCATGACTGAGTCCTCTGCGAGAGCCAGGTCTCGTCCTGACTCTCAGCTGCAGCCCTGCAGAGCTGATTGCTCACATATGACTGTCTAATTTAATCCCCCTGCTAATATCGCCTGTGTGTGTCAGACTAAACTGTGTGATTTGTCAAACAGTGAAACCTACAGTTTCACTTCATGCGCGTATCTTGTGATGCATGACTCAAATGCCTACTTAATTAGCAGATTAGTTGATCAACAGAAAGTAAATATATGGAATGAATTTGGTTCTTTTTGAAAGACAGGACATGCAGCTGGAAGGTCAAGTCAAGTCAAGTCAAGTTTATTTATAGAGCACATTTAAAAACAACCAAGGCTGACCAAAGTGCTGTACAGTAAATACAGATAAAAATACAATAGAACACAATTTCGTAAAACACCTCGCTGATCAAAATAAAAAATAAATAAACAAATAAATTAAACCTTTCTAAAAGCCAATGAAAAGAGGTGAGTTTTAAGAGCAGTTTTAAAAGTTTCTAGGCTTTTGGAGAATCTGACGTGTATCAGAAGGTATCAGATTAAACTGTAATTAACCATTACTATAATCTGTATGTCCTGGGGTATGCCTTTACTATGAACAGAGCTGCATTCACGATCTGAAACCTCCCTCTAACTGCAAGCTTGTGACTGGCTGCTTAGTGTTGATACTTAGATAATCAGAGATGCCTAAACAGATTAATAGCAAGCACGAGCTGATATCATGTCGATGTTGTTCCTGGATCAACAAAGCTAATGTTGGTCCAGGTTGGACATCACAAGTGACCAATGAGATTGTAGTGATGTAATAGTTTTGCCACGTGGAAACAAATTCACACCACACACCAAATCGTAAACCTGAGGCTGTAACCCTGACCGCGATCACACCCTGTTCTCCAACCCTAACCCTGACCCTCACACCCCATTTTTTGATTTCTTTCCTGAGTGGACATCGGCAGTTTTTTTTCCAAAGTCACAATGATATGACAACACAATGTGATTCGTCATATCCAATGATGCTCCCAGACTAACATTATTATGTTGATCCAGGAACAACACCAACATGAGGATGTTAGACCTGATAGTCCGTGTTTGTGCCTTTTCGCTTAAAAGATTCTTATTAGAAGCAGGTCACATTTTTTACACATGCATCAAACAGGTGCTGTAAATTACACAGATTTTTAGTTTTTCTCCATCTCATCTTCTTCTTAGTGGATCATCCATCTCACCCAGTCCTTTGCATCCTCTTTTGTCACACCAACAATCTGCTTGTCCTCCTACGCTACACCCATGAATCTTTCTCTATTCTTTTTGTCTGGCATCTTCATCTTTAAATCCTTTGTCTAACATTTTCACTGTCCCTACCCTGCACAGGTCCAAACCATCTCAGCCTTGTCTCTCTAACTTTGTCAGTAGAACACCTCAACCTGATATGTCCAAATACCTATTCTTTCTAATGACTCTCAGTGAAAATCCCAGCATCTTTAAACCTGCCAGCTCTAGCTCTGCCTCCTGTCATTTTGTCAGTGTCTCCAAACCATGCATGACAGCAGGTCTTACTACCATCCTTCCCTTCACGCTTATCTCAGTTGGAAGTTTTTAATTTTTACATTTTTTCAAACTCTGGTTTGAATCCAGCCAGGGGCCTTTCTGTGTGGTGTTTGTGTTTGCGTGGGTTTTACTGTGGCTCCTCCTCTCACAGTCCAAAGACATGGATGGTGTTAGGTTAATTACGGATTCTGAATTTGCTGTAGGTGTGAATGTTAGTGTGAATGCTTGTCTGTCTCTCTGTGTGTCTCTCTCTCCTGTGATGGAGGCTGAGCTCTTCAAGGCATACCCTGACTCTCGCCTTAAGACAGCATAGTATAAGCTTCACACCCCCATTATCTGAATTGTAGAAGA